AATTTCTGTCTTCAGGTGTCCCACAGTCATTTTGTGGTGTTTAAACACTATCCTTTACCCACTGTGGCATTGTCTTGGTATATCGAGTCATTGTTGTCTTCCCTTTGCCCTCTAGGTTCAAGAGCAGTTCATCTTCTTTCAAGGGCGTTTGCATTTTTGGCTGCATTCATTCTTCAGAAAGTTACAACAGGGAAATGCCACAATAACGTGATGCTGCCACCACCATGCTTTACTGCTGGGGACTTCATTATCCAGATAAAGAGCACTGCTTGGATGTAGCTAGACTCTGCTTGGAGTTCAGTTCGGTAGAGTTTTTGTCTCAGACCTGATAATTACTGAGGCCAGAGTGCTTCTGGGAATACTCTGTGTCTTATTTAATTATATCCAACCCATTAATTCGCTACAGTTGCACACTAATCAAGTTGTAGACACATCTGTGGGATAATTAGGCAAGCAGGATGCCTCTGATCACACTTGGAGTGCTCCATCAAGGAGTGAATATGTCTCAGTTTTTGATTTTAGATTTTAAAATAACAAATGCAGTATTTAGAAAAAGAACTTCTTTTTGTCCTTAAATTATGATTAGTGGGCAAGTGGAAAACAGACAAGTCAGAGTTCTGAATAATTTTTTTGTTTACCTGCTGCATAACGCCGACTCTGTCAGACGTGAAGACACTCATTCTTTAGACGACTGTAGATGGTAAAGCAGCTGGTTTTATTACTCTGGATCTTTGACTTTGGCATTGTCTAAAAGCCTAGATTTTAGTAGGTGTACTGTACACATAAAACCATGATGCTAATCTGCTATAATCTACTTGGCTGGCACCTAAGCCTGTTTACTTGCAGCTGATATGTGAAGTCAAAAAGATTTGGATTGCTGAAGCGAACTGAGCAGATCTGTTGTAATTTGCAGAGAGAGAGATACAATTACATTGCAATCTGCAGCACATTCACGGGCAATGGCTCACATCTGTATCGTGTTTGTGAATTTACCCTCTCATAATCATATTAAGCCGCAGGAGAAGGCTGTGCCATAAATCCTTTTTAGTAAAACACTTCTATATTGCGATTTTTATAGAAATTGAACGCAAGTGTTTCTGTTCTCTGATGATAGGCTGGCCTGGATATGAAGTCTAAAGTTGCTAAGTTAGTGCTATATTAGCTTTTGACTTTACATTGTGAGCCCTTCCTGTTTCCTTTCACTGATGCCCGTTTCCTTTTGTGACAACTGACACTTCCTCTTCATAATGTATCATAGCAGCACAGCCAACATTTTTCCGAACAGATGTCCTGTTCCCAGAGACAGTATGTCATTTCATACAGTGAACTAGTGAGCTGCTGACCACTGCATTGCAAAAGTCCAGCTCCCGGCTCCTGTACACTATACAGCACTGGTGAAGAGACCTCTGGAAACAGGTCATTGTGAAAGTGACATTTTACAGCCCAGAAGCCGATCAAACGCCAGCTTTTGGGGGAATGTATTTACTGTTAAAGACCTTATGTTGTTTATGCACATAAGCAATCTGTACATTAACCTGACTATGACTAATGTGATGTTAGAATAAGCGTGTTCACAGTGACTGTGTTAAGGTACTGATGCTTAGCAGATTCTGTTTCCAGATAACATTTGCAAACTGGAATATAACCTGATCCCAGCTGATTGCAGGTTTCTACAAGTGCTAGAGGAGAATTCAGGATCGTGCAAGATAAAACAATGTTTACAAAATTTGAACCCTGAGATTTCCCAGTTGTCAAGTGAAAAGCTTGAGCTGCTGGTGGTGATAGATAAATAGACTCATGGTACCCCAAAGTTACCGTCTACCTATCCATCCATTTAACAGCAGGGTCTTCCTTTATGAGTTCTCCAGTATAGCTTTGGTCTTCTCTTCAGTCCTCTCCTTGCTGAAAACCCCCCAAAGAGATAACTCGGGAAACATCCACATTCCCACCTCACTTGGCTTCAGCTTCAGCCCTGAAGACCCACGTGTACATTCACGTCTGTTAGCGTCAACAAACATGATCAACTGATTTGCAATGCCAAATACTACGGGTGAGAAACTTTATCTTACAGAGCTCTGTTAACATTGAGATCTCATATGTTATTAGAGTTGCTTGACTTTTTAGCTTCGAGGATCACCTTTCATGTACATGGCATCAGTGTGTGCAGTAGGTCATAAGCTCATTTGTATAATGGGCTTAACTACAGCTTTTTTTTCTCTCTTTGATATTAGGCCAAAGCTGTAAAAACAACAAGGAAAAGGAATACACTGCAGACGGTAGCGGCTCCTGTGATGCCTTGTTATCACGTTTTCCCTTGAGGTTCACATGTTGCCCTCTTACTTCCAAGCAGCCAGTCTGCCTTGTGTGATAACCTCTGTTTTAGGACATGACAGAATTGTTGGGACAGATAAGCAGCACTTCGGTCCCTCGTGACGTCTCTTTTTGCCCTCTTCTTGCCACGCCGTCATCACACCCAGTCTTTTGTCTTAACAGAGAAACACCCGGTGGAATACAAAACAATTAAATAAAAAAAAGTCTTCTTCCTCAGCGGGGCAGTGCCTGCATCGCTGGCCGGTATCCAGGCGGTAGAATGGTTGACATTAGGAGAGAGGAGCAGAGAGCCACTGATCCTGGACCAAAAGGAGGAGGGAGTGACTCACAGGAGAGAGGATGAGTCAGGCGTCATGTGCTGAACTGGCACTTGACGCTCTCAGTGTCCTGAATGGCTTCTGTTCCCATAATAACATGCACTATTATGGTCAGATTGAGCCTACCTTTTGTCAGTCAGTCAGGCTTGAGCTAAGCTGGTGTTGGCTTAATTACACGAGCTGGTATGCATTTATGGAAATGCTTGTATGCACTGCCTTACTTCTAATACTACTCATTATCTTTAAACGGGCTCAGATGATCAAACCGGTTCATTGGCATCACTTTTATGTTCGGCTGCTGATTTCCCAGATTGGAGATTAAGATCTTTTATTATGGTCAGCTGCAGAGCAGCTTTTTGCAGCTGTGGTCTCGGTCGTCTTGTGCCAAAAAAAGTTGAACCGACGCATTCTGTAAGGTCTGTTTCTGATCTGCTGATGCAGATTTTCATTATGTCTGGAAGTAGGAGGTTTACAGTAACGGGGGATGGATAACACCTCAAATTTCAAAGGAAGTTTTTCTGGAGGGTTTACTTGAATAACACATAACGAGCAAACGTATGAGACAGAAATGTAGCAAGATAAATGGTGTCTGAGGTTCACAGCGATGATGGATGTTCTCCTGTGTGGTCTGTCAGCTTCTCTTAGTTCCATAATAGGGAAAAAAGTTGCATGTCATTTTTCTGCTGCTTTATTATCAGGGACAGTGCACTTACTTTCAATGAGTCAGTCCAAACTTCACCGCTTTTCTTTTGCCGGCCGACCCTGACTCACATCTCCCTGTCTCTGCCTCACTCTCTCATTGAACCCGGCTCCCACTCTGATGAAATGTTCTTTGCTTACAACATAAAAAGCTGTCCAAAAAATATAGAAGTGTCTCTTTTTTTTTTCTTGCCTTTAGACACTTTTGAGCCGCATGTGACTGCGATACCAAAATATTTTTTGTAATTTTACAGGCTCATATTCTTCAAATTACTCAGACAAGCATGGCACTCATAGAGAAGGTCTGGGGCAACAAAGGATGAAACAATGCCGCTTCATTGTATTTATTTAATTGGAGAGGGAGAAAGTGACTCTGCACGTGCCAAAAGAAGAAAATCAGAGTCATCCTTCTGCTTCCTTTTATCCATCATTCATTCATACTCACTCTCCTCCAGCCCTGGAAAGTCCTTGGCCTCGGTGCCCAGGACCTGGGCAGTAAGGAGGAGGAAACAATGCCTGGAATGTGATGAGGAAAAAAAAACTTGAGTCATTTCCACATGTCAACTTCTGGCTCAGTTCCTCCTCCTCTTCCCAAGTATGTTGCCTTCAGATTCTCCTCTTATTCCCAAATTCTCTGGTAGAATATGTGATCTGTACTATTAAACCAAGGTTGCTGCCACCCAGGATATTATTTATGTGTTATGTTAATTGACCGTTTTTCCTCCAAGGTGAAACCGAAGCCACAGATGTTACCCCCTGTCAAAACCCAGTATTTCCTTTCTGTTAGACACAAACCAAAACCCTTAATCTGTAATCTATCACACCAAAGTTTGATACTCTAACCTAAACACACACACACACACACACTTGGTTGCCAAGTGTACAAACTGTTAGAAAAAAATGACACATTTTTCCTTACATGTGGTTTCATATCTGTTTAGTTTTTAACACTCAGTTGGCTGTGGGGGCCTGAAGGCAGCAGGAGGAGGGGATTTCTTTTTTTCCATTGGTCACCATCCCTTAAGAGAAGCATGACGTCAACGAAAGACTCAATAACTGCACTCAACGCGTTTCAATAACTATTACACACAAACAGACATATGCACACATGTGCATACACACACGCACGCATGCACTCGGGGCGCCTTTGAATCCATCTGTTTGCCTCCTCCTTTCAAACTGTCGTTCCAAGACAGATGAGGTTTTGAATAATTAGTTTTTGATTATGAAGTATTGGAAATGAATTTGTGCTTTGAAGTGTAACGTCATAATTTACCGTCACCGATAATGACCGTGTTTGCCATTAACAGAAAGGACATGGCGCTGTACAAATGTCACAACAGTAGGACTACAAATAATGTATGAGAATAGACTCGCAGAGTGCATCGGTGTTTTTTTTTTATCGCTTTACTGAAAATAACTCTTTCAGTTCACATATAGTGAAGTCGCTCAGTATTCAGATAACCTTTATTTTAAATGCACGCACTCGATATAGAAATGGTAAAAGTAAAGTCAGATTTCCTGAAGACTACATATGTGTATTTGGGTTAAGCTAAACACAAACCGCAAGGGCAGATAAAACCTTTACCCAGTCGCTAACACACTACCCTGTGTACATCTGTACTACCTTGTCACAGCGCACGGACCTGTTTATCTCTTAGGGCCACTTTTCCCACTTCGGCGTCTCTCCTGCAAACTGCGCGTTCACGCGCTTCTCAGGCCAGCCCAGTATCCCGGGCGCTCGCTCCCGCGCCAGGCTGGTGGAAAAAACTGCAGCGGCTGTTGCTGGAGCCACGCAGAGAGGAGCGGTGTGGGAGAAATCACGGGCACTGGCAAGAGTTGAGCGGCACACACTCACACAGTCGCACAACACAGGCAGATTTTGTCGTTATTCCTGCCGAGGGCGACGCTGTCAGAAGCGGGGTTCATGGCTGCCAAGAAGTGATAGTATCGACGAGGAGCTCTTCGCCGTTCAAAAAAGGTATGGAAAAGTTAGCTATGGGTTCATTTTTCGCCCCCCTTCGCAAAATTGAAAGTGTCTCAGCCACAAGTCTCGCTAGTTTCTTGCGGCTGCCCAAGTTCCAGGTTGTCAGCGAAGGTATGTCGTGTCTTTGAGGAGGGAAAACCCCCCAAAAACTAGCGGTTCCGTGTTGTAATGTCAGATTTGTGCAGGATAGAGATGTGAGGAGAAGCCAGCGGAGAAGTTTGCTAGCCGTGCTCGGCTTCAGCGAACTGAGAGCTAATCAGTGACTGCGTGCTGACTTTGTAACATAGCTGCTGCTG